ATATTGTGAAACTCAAACATTTTAAACATCAAATTTCTCAAAACTAGGTACTGAGCAAATAGAACCTTGTAATTCTGAGGTAGCGAGAAGTCTAGTGGTTATACTCAATGCACGGGGCCAGTCGAATTAATTTGGCTGAGTTGGTGCCAGCCAAATTTTTCTTCGTGAATGGTGCAAAGGTTATCACATTGGCATATTACAATCGAATTTAATATTGTGTCAATGAGGGCGTAAAGCACCAACATAAAGAGCCCAAACAAATTCACCTGACTGCGTGGTTGTCTTGAGTTGACAATAAATTTCCGCACCTGCCGAATTGTATATTCAGTGGCAGATTCACCTTTGATCGTATCTCGGTTAGATCTGCGTCATCCGTGGCGTAATAGTGTTAGGCTCTTCGATTTTGCACCCCAAAGACCTGAGTTCGATTCCCGAAAAAAGCTATTTTATCGAGTTTCTCTTTTTGTCTGCCGGGTTGTTATTATATCCCTTTCAGTGAGTGCATGTTAAGCAAAGTCGGTACTGTCAGAGCAGCCCTCTTTCTAAACAATCTAATTTGTGTCGATGGGGATGTAAACATTCACACTCAATCGTGCCTCTTTTCCTTTGGACAACAGTATGGAAACCGGAGACACCAGTGTCCGGTATCTGCCTCTGTGTGCAGATAAAATACGTATGCAGGCTCAGAGCAGCCTTCCCTTTAAATGAACGTAATTGCCTCGATGGGATCACACTATAGATTGCAATAGAATGTTCTTTTCATATACCAGTGCACTGGACAGTCTATTCTTCTTTCAGAACAAAACACAAAGTAAAATAACATTTTAAACAAATGTGTATAACTGTTTCTCGGTATGAACATAAGGCAACATTGTGTGTAATATTCTTGGAATACATTTTGATAGTATTTGTACTTTTACTTTTTCAGATACCGTCTCCTTCTTGATTGAAATTGTGTTGATTTAGGCGTAAAACATTTCCAATCATCAAGTCCTACGGGTAATATAGGCTACACCGTGGATTGGTCTGTATTTGTGAGGTGTCGCGGAGAAACCAAGAGCTCATCAAAACGATGAAATAAAAGAAACCGGCATTTTTCTGGGCGTAGAGCAATTTTTTTAAATTGAATTTCATTTTTTGGCTCTACACCCTTTATGTACTTTTGAAAATACAATTCTGTGTGGATGCTATCGAAAAAAAAACCCCAGTGACTAAAGACTAAAAAAAAGTAAATTTCTGGTTTCCAAGGACACTCAATTTGTAGAAGCCACCAAACTTCGGTGACCTTTTTCTTGCTAATTTTACCTCTCACACCAGGCGACCCACACCTCCTTCATTTATTACTACAAACAAATAGACGTCTATTCAAGATAAACAGGTATTTTTGTTCGCCAAGTGCAAGACAAATGAATCAGCTTTAAGGTGATATTAATAACTTCATAAACCCAAAAATTGACGAGTGCCTGATTCCTCCGCGTAATGGAACATTCTAAAAACCGCACACACGGTTATTTGCTCACTCCAATAAGGTCTACGTTTCTTTAGCACAGGGCACTGTGAATCGAAACCTGAGAGTCGAACATAGTGTCGAGAGTTTTATTTTTTGCAAATTTTGGATATCACTTGAGAACATTCCCCACAATAGAGGGTCTGATAATTGTGGGTCAAGTTATTGTGCACATGTTATAAGTGCGGTAAATACGCAAAAGCTGCAAGTTGTTTCCTTAAACCGTTGTTAAGTCTCTATTTGTGTGCTCGCATTCTACATGTAGCACGGGACAGCCTGACAAAGTCAACGTACATCGAGCAAAGTGGTGACAGTGAGTTGTCAAGACACTTGGAGAAAATTGGAGATGAATGCGTCATCGACACGAAACACTGTGATCCCTTCCAAATTTCTGACCGGTGTGGGCTCCAGCTACAGGATGTGCTGCGAAAACATCACCGCGTGCATGATGGTGCAGGTGAGTTAGGCCAAATTAGGTCATTTTTTACTGGGAAGGGAAACTGATAATGGGCGCAATGTCAATTTGACCGATATAATGATAATGGTGCGGTGGGAAATGGTTCGAGTTCTAAATCGGGCAGTGTTTATCGTTGGTTGTTTAGGAAGTTTCATAGAGTATCGTCGTCATTCTGCAGGCATGCTGTATCCAACATAATCTGGGTTGGGCCTTGGCAGTTAGGGTTGAAGCAGCCGTTCTCTTAACTGATTTAAATTGTGTTGATCGGAGTGTAAAAATATACAAACATTTACAATTTTTAAATCGAGTCTATTGTGTCGCAAAACATTTACAGCATTATATTAAAGTTCAATGCTCATCCCGTCGGACATCACCAAAAAACAAGGTCTCAAAAGAGGCGGTGAATCAAAAATAAAAGTTGTCAAATGTAAAATCTACATATTTGACCTAACACTGCTAAAATTGTGGAAGACATATTTTCTGTACTTCTATACCTCTATATCCGGGAACTCAAAACTATACTCCGTAAAAAACCCTGGGAAGATTCCCACTTGCCTGGCCAGTGGCTGTCGATTGATGAATAGAGTGTTCGGGATAACACTTTACCGCCTGTGCCACTTGGTACTCCAGGGTCTTTGGTATAACATTTACTCGTGTCGTTGTGGTACGCACACGGCAGGATTCCTGTGTGGAGAGAGTTTTTATCGGGTATCTTCTCAAGAGTGACGTCATGGACCTAAGCCTAAACATTGGAAAGAACTGAAACAATGGTGATAAGCAGAAAAACTCTAGGCCAACCTGCAATATCAAAATCAATGGTAATACCCTCAAGAAAGTACATTTTAGAAATTTGGGAATCATTATACTATCAGAGGGGAGGTGTCACACAAAAATTAAAAGCTGCATTTGCCAAGCAAGAGCAGGCTTCTACAAAATGAAACAGATACTTACAAACATCAATCTGTCACTGGAAACAAGAAAACAAGTACTGGAAAGTTACATCGAGCCAATCCTATTATACGGCATTAACAATCAATATACAGCTGGAAAGAACAATTGAGGCGACAGAGTTATAGTTCATAAGGCGCATGCTGCGTATCCCATGGACAGCTAGATAAACACATTTTAATGAAGACGTCTTGGTTGAAGCAAATTGCAGACGACAGCTTATGACGAATATACGAAAGCGACAGGCAAAGCCCATTGGACACACAAAGCGGAAAGAAGCTTTGGAGAAGCTTTTGACCCATGAATACATTAAGAAGGTACTCTGGGAGTTCCCGGTTTCGGTCTCATGCCTTTAACCGTCTTCTCACTTCTCACAGCGGGTTTGGAGCGCTCATAGGCCTAGAGGAAGAAGGAGACGAATAAGAAGTAGGAGGAGCACTACAGAGGGAGGGTGGTGAGAGTGACAGGGAGGGAGAGAGATAAGTTGAGAGATATAATATGCAGAGACCTAGATTAGAACATTGCCAGATCTAGGTCTCTGATATGGGAAGTGAGAAATAGACAAGAAAGGAGAGAGACACTAAAACAAGCAAACAAGCACTCACGCACACACACACACACACACACACACACACACACACACACACACACACACACACACACACACACACACACACGCAGAGAGGGAGATAGAGAGAGGGAGAGAGAGAGGGAGAGAGAGAGAGAGAGAGAGAGAGAGAGAGAGAGAGAGAGAGAGAGAGAGAGAGAGAGAGAGAGAGAGAGAGAGAGAGAGAGGGAGGGAGGGAGTGCGGGAAGTCCAGGAGTACCGTGGGCCTATTTTATGTATTCATGGGTCAAAGGTTCAGTCAATCGTAGCCCGGTTTACGCCTTCTGTGTAGTCGCATGTAGGTTAAAGGTTTCTCTACTTTAACTTCCAGGTCGTCGGGTACAATCGCGCTGAGGTTGTAGTGTGCACTGAAACCACAAGAAAGCGACCCGACCCGATCGCGTATGTGGGCACACCCTATTAAATTTCAGGCGTCAGGCGTCAAATTGCTGCTAGATCTCGGTCTAGTGAGTGTAGTGTGTTGCTTGTTAGTACATTTTGATCACAGCGTTGTGCAAAATGGACTCGGAATCATTGATTCAAGCGGTTGGAAAAGGAAAATGCCTTTATGACAAGAGGGATGAAAACTGCATCTACAGAAATTTAATAAATGCTGAGTGGAATTTTTATTTTTATTTAGTCTATTAGGTGATGGTACTCTCCATTTCGTCTTTGATTTATTATATGCACCGAATATCGACCCCGCGCCCGTCGCTGTTTATGCAATCATGATAACATTAACCACAGAAAAACACCATCTTCATCCATTGTTATAGATCTACTGACAACTTTTAATGACCAAAAGACGCTTCCACTCCGGCTCCACCAGACATCTTAGGAGCGTCACGTAATCAAATCATCAAAAAGAATGGAACTGGGTTTGAGTTAGCCCCATAATCAAATTATTTACTTCGTTTTTGGTCCGCGATATGCACGTCGTTGATTGTTCCACCCCGATATTCACAATATATTATTATACCATGTAAGAACGAAGACGGTAGGTTCCTTCGAACCTGCCTGTAACGACCAACCCAGAGTTGGGAGGGAAACAACATCGCCTGAAAAGGATTGAGACGCTAAAAAAATAAACTTCCCTCCAGGGAATCTTTGTCACTACTTTATTGTGCAAAACCGAATCCGAATAGCCATAGCATTACACAACACCACAGGCAGTTTGAGTAGACAAATGTACATCGACACGCAAACGACTACCTAGTCCATGGAAAAAGTAAGATAGACAAAGAACAGATGGAAAGAAAGGAAGCTGGACAAGTAAACTGCGCCTCTCCCCCCCTCCCCCCCCTCCTCCAAACCAACTACTGACGCGTGATCATAATAATATTATGCCGTTAAGAAATACTTTATAATAGATTCGGCACTGTGCACAGAACAAACTAATCACTTGGCTTCTTGCAAATTTCCTCATTTTCTCCAAGTTCAGGAGCACCCCAAGTCCTTCGTGACTGAGGCCTGTAGATCTTGTGTGTTTCTCACTTCTCACAAAATCAAGGGAGGTAATTCATCCGGCCACAGCAGACAATGAAGGTCATTTTCTGACCAGGTTTATAAAGAAAGACAACAACAAAAATGGGAGGTTCGAGAACAGAAATCGATTTTGAGCAAGTACACCGATCCTATACGCTCTTCAGGTTATTTCACAATTGGGAAATGTACATTAATATGTTTGTTCTCTTAACAGGGTTTTACCTGCCATTGGACGTGTCTAAGACCCCTTCGAAAACAAATTGATAAAAAAAAGGCCGCACCTTCGTCCGACATTAGTCTAAGATAGTTTATTTACGTTTGGTTCAGGTTCAAGTAAAAAGAAGCACACCGACACGGATAGAGCAGGGAAAAGACAAGATAGACAGGCAGAAATAACGGAGGTAAAGGAAAAAAGTTGGACCTACCACTGATGCCCTCCTCCAAACTCCCAAATACACATGTATACTTAGTGGCATCCAAAGAAAAAAACACTTGAAAATGTAATCACCAGATCATTGTGTTAAAGCCTTACACTACCCACTCATGCAGCACACAATTTTAAAGCTAAATAAATTCTGCATAATCTGACACATTAGATTTAATTATTTCATCTATGTTGATTAAGAGACGCCCGAGATATGGTCACTCAAACTGACCTTAAAAAATCAGTCTTGGCAAAATTGTGCGAAATCAAAGAAACGTAAAATTGTCTTCGTGCATGCACTGAGGGGTATCCATATTGATAGAATGGACATGATTTATATCTAAATAATTGACGATTTTGTCTAAGCAATAAACAATGTTTTATTTTGACAGCTTCAAACAAAATGGAAAACAAAGCAATCACATTTAATACCACGCAAAACTTGAACTTAACATTAACATTGAATGTGTTCATTGTTATTTTGCTTAAGAGTCATTGGTTTGGTGTAGGGAAAAACCCTTTGGGCATCGGCTCTATTAAATTTGGGACTTAATTTTCCCTCAGTTCCTCCCACATGTCACAGAGAGTTGCAAAGGGCCTGAGTTGGGAGCAACATCGATTTTCCTCAGCTGCTGTTTCGTAGGACTTCTCGTACCCTTAAGATTCATATCGGCGCTATTAATTGGTGACCATTCCGACGTTGATATGATTTGATTTTCCAAGAATTGTTTAGTGGCATTGACCCTGTGAGAAAATGATTTGCCATGCACGTAGATGTCTACTTGAATGACACCATAATGAAAACAAGGGTAAGACATGACGTTCCAGCACTTGCACGATGTAGTCAACTGAACCAAGCCATCCGGTGATTTATACCAAAGTGGTTTTGTTCATATCACCCCAGACCACCCAAAACCATGGCAGTTTCCCGTCCTCTGCTCCTCACTGACAGATGATAAGTCTAAAATCTAACTAACACAGTCCATGTGCAAAAAGGGTTTCGTGCTCTACTCGAAACCAATAGCTTCTAAACAAAGCTAAAATCATACAAATGAGCACATGTAAAGTTAAGGCCCGGTTTCGAATGATATTTGAGACTACCCTGTCTTCTAATCTATTCGAAAATATCATCGGAAGATGTTGTTCACAGTAGAGACAAAAACATTCTCTTTTCATGTGATATTCAATACTTGTCCATTCCACCAATGTTGATGCACTTCAATACACGCGCAAACAGACTCTTACGTTCCTTTGATTTCGCACAATTTTGCCAAGCCTGATTTTTTAAGGTCAAATTTAAGGAACCATATCTCGGACGTCTCTTGACATAGATAAAATATTGTGTCAGATGGTGCAGAATATATTTACCTTTAAATTGGTATGCTGCTTGGGTGGGTAGTGCAAGGCTGGGTGATTGCATTTTCAAGGCTTTTTGGAACATATCCGGTTTTCATGTGTTCAAACAAACTGATTTGGATAATTGGTGCTGCTTGCAGTGGGTCACAAACGAAGCAGAGGTCAAATGAGAAAATAACA